TAAAGCTGATTGATACCTGTTAGATAAATAAAATACACTGACCATTGAATCGTATATAGCGAATGGTCCGTATGCATGTTTGCAAGTTCTGATTTTTTTCAGCATGTCTGTAGGATACGAGCCGATATTTATCAAACTCTTGGTTTATATAAAATTGTGAATCACACTACCAAAAGCGGGGTTTCTTAGCCATAGCTGAATCTACATAATAGAACCCCTACTGTCACAATGTCACTGCCACGGACTGGAACTGGAACTGAACTTTCTGGAACTTCGTATAGAACATATCAGAGATAGACAAAGTGTGCAGCATCGCATGCCTGTTTGCCTGTGACAGTTAGGGACACAATCAAATTTCAGGTTTCCGTTTTAGGCTTGTCTAATCCTGAAGATGGAAAAACATCGTCAGTTTGTTTACTGTAACAGTCTGAGTCATTGACGAGAGAGTACTTTGGTTGTTCTGCTCCCGCTTCGGGTGATTATGACGACAATAACGATTCATTCCACTTGCGTACATAGAAAACATGCGTGACTTGTGTTCTTCGTATCCGTTCATGTAAGCACTCGGTAACAAAGTGAACGGATTTTACACTCCCCCTCCCCCTTCCGGGTTTTAAACCTGAATTCATAGGTGAACTATGTGATAAAAACAACACTCTTTTGGTTAGTGTGGTTATCTGACCGGTGCAAAGAAGCACACTGTCGGCTTTTTATTCTTCACCCAAGGCAGCTCGAATATGTTTCGTTTAGTGACTGGGGTACGTGCACTTGTACACATTATATATATTGAGAGAGACCTTAACATAACTACTTGCTAGTTGCTCACTCAAGCCTCAACCTATAAGACGAATTCATTCACTCGTGATTGTAATACATTAATTACAAAGCGTAGCTCTCTGATGTGCCGAACGAAGTTATCGGTTTTGTGACTAACCGTCAACCAAGAATACTTCCCACCCCTGATCTCCTACCACTGACCAAATGTGGCTCAGGATTTCGAAGCCTTGTTTCAGCTTTCTACTTTTTCGTTATTCATTCTCAAAGCGTTTTGATTTGGACTGACTATCCTTCCAACTTCAACTTCACTGGAGCGAAACTCGAGTCTAGTGCCTTAGAGTGTATGGTTGTGTTTAACTAAACTGAATTGTGCGTGAAGGTGAAGTCTGGAGGATGGTCAGTCCAAGTCAGTATCAATTATCCCTTACCACTACTCACAAGTTACTGACTTAAATGTGAATTTATCGTTTTCTTGCCAACATGATGACCAGTGGTCCGGTCAGGGGACCGAGCCGATCCACCGAATTATTTAACTACCCTCCTAATATGCAATCAATTGGGTAGCTAGACGTTGAGACGTGATGGCGGATGAATATGGTTGGTTCTTCGAATAGACAATGAAGATAAGGAGATGGAGTAATTTCCGCTGCAGGGCTCACGAAAACCGTGAGAATACAATCAATGACACGATGGTAATCAGCCTGCATCAATAACAAAAGTAAAATGTTAAGCCCAAAGTTCCGTATTGACTCCCAATTCTTACTGAGACTCTTTAGTTTTTGTCCCCGGTTTTGTAAGTTCGGAAAATTCTCCGCGCCTGCAACGATTGAAGATGAATAAGTCCGTGTGGGGTAAAATCAAGTTTGGTTATGGGAACGTGAGAGAACGTTCGAGACGGTGAGATGGAATTATTCGTGAATCGGAATAGGTGGGATTAATTCAGTGTCAGGATGAAATAGGGTTAGATCGATGGCGGTGGTGGTGATGTTGATCTCTGTCACAGAATCCAGTTGCCAGAACGAAACTGTTGTACATTTAGTCCTGTTCAGACGAACTCCATGCATCTTCTCTTGGACTACACCTAGTCCATGATTCTTATCTTAAATCCCGCTGGCGAGAAGAAGAAAGATTTCTGTATTTTCGGCCTTAGTCCTCCACAAGCAGACAGACAAACGGGCGTGGGAAAGAGCAACATCAGTGATAATCATGATCTCATGCCAACCAACCTCTTTGCATGTCTACCCTGTTTTGCAAGCTTGTGCGCACTCTTTAGCTTAGCTGTAGCACTCTATCTCATACCCTATTCAACCCCCACACTCAGGTCACTCATTGGGCAGGCAGGCAGAATAAACCACGGGTAACCATGTATTCGTTGGATCGAACTCTCGAGTTTGACAGGGGAAGACCTCATTCTATTTCGTATCTTCTTTCAAAGTTAAAGATACCAAACACACACGTATTTGCACGTGTGCAACACATTATGCTGGGAGAAAGAGGCGGGGTGGGGATAGTGGACAGCTGTTCAGCGTACTCAGCTTTGATATCTGCCGGAAGTTGTTTGGTACTGTCCGAAAGACATTTAACCGTTTTCCACTCATAAGTAAAGCCAGGTTCGACAGCCGGGAGCTGAGAGTTGAAGTTCACATGATCGCACGTGAAACACTTTATACAATCTGCTTCTGATACCGTTGGATTTTGAAGAAGCGCTAGATTATTGAATTGACTGGTTGATTGGATATGCTTAATTCCAAATCAACTTGTTTATTTGGCTGTACGCATTTGTGGACGACATGTGTGTGAAGCCCGACAATGGTGAGGCTAAATTTCCGTATATTTCCCTCGGCTTCGCGCTTGTGTGGGTGTTTGCCTACACAGGACGAAAAAGCATGTGTACGCGTACAGATGAGCATGCATATGTATACACGGAAAGCGGACGATCGGGACTTCGCTTGTGCTGCTGTTTATCACTGTTCACATGTGCATCAGTGAGTGTATGCAAGCGGGTGGGTACATGGGTAAATACTCATATTCACTCCCACACGTTTAGATGCCCGTACATTCAACTATATCTTATTGCAAACGTCAAGTTGATTGAATTAAGTTAGGTTCGAAAAGACACGAATACTCACCGGGAATGAGTGACGGAAGCAGAAATGAGTAAATGATTGATTGACCGATCTACTGACTACAGCTAACAGACTGATTGTCAGACAGGCAGATAGACAAACAGACAGACAGACAGATAGACTGACTGACTGACCGCTTGATAAGCCAAGAGACAGCACATTGGCAGGACTGTTGTTAAACAAACACACAAAAAAACATTCACACAATCAACTCGAGTAACCTCACTGCAGTTTCGAATACCAATATCACCACAACTGACGGGGAGAATTGGATCAGCTAGCTTTTTGTTCCCGTGCATGTTTCACCTGTGCGCGTATGTGTTACGTGCGAGTGCACGAATATACACGCACAAAGAGACATTGTTGTGCATGTGTTTGTGCACATGTTTGTGTCCACGTAACAGTGCAAGTGCTCGAGCAAAATAGTTCTCTCCCCGTACTCGCAATCAGATCGTGCATCACCAATGGTCGAATAGTGATGTATGCGTGAACGAACGAACGGGAAAATGAACAAGTGTGAATAAAGCCACAGAACGAGCAAGTGTATCCGTGAGTGTTTGTTCCTGACCTTAACAATTCAATCCCGAATTAAACCTCATACTTTGCATGACAGATCGACGTATTACGAAACCGGGTTGGGGACTAAAGACAGTAGTTCATACCTTTGTTGTTAATGAAAGTTGCGGCATTTTCGGAAATAAAAATCTGTCGCACGCACTGTGAACTAACGCGTTTTTCTAAACCTGTATATAGTGGTATCGATCGAAATGGAGCAACATCCTGACTTTCGTCAAACTTGTTCTTCCCAACTCGTAGTTCTTCGGGTCTCATTCACGGGATTGAATAAGATATTGCCCCACATCAGACCCAAAATATCTACAATAATACTCACTTCTGTTCTTACTTATATTGAACGGCTGCTGGTGCATCTGTTGTAAACTAACAAGGCCTCAGTTAAACATCATTATAATTTATTTATAAAAATAACCATTAGGCTTGATACAGGGATTACTTGTACCTTCACTTTGCCACTCAACCGTTCTTTGTTTTTGAGCACTAGAGGCAGTCGTTTTTGCAAGCAGTCCACCAAGTTGACTGTTCAACACCATTCACCAGTTTCCTCTGATACGTGCCTCAAACTGGTCACTAAAGACCTCTACCTAGGTAGCTAACTTATCTTGGTTTCCAACACTGGGAAAAGGTTTCGATTGCACTCAAATCCCAACTGCTAGGAGGTAATTCAATGAATTCGATACTGCACTTGTCCCACCCAGAAACTAAATAAATGCGAAAAAAATAAGATTTATTAAAGTCTGACCGTTTTCTACTACGAATCTTGAGCAAGAAGATATATTAACATTTATCTGGGAAAAAATATTACTTCTGCGAAAGCATTTCGAGAGTGACATCGAAAACTTGCCTCATCATTGTAGAAAATTCTATGGTATACAGAGTGGCATATAAAGGAAGCCAACAACAAGGTGCTCAGTATTGACCTCCCTTCTAACACATAAGACGCGGTGCATATTTAATTCTTTCGACAAGCACAACGAAATTCACTGGAAACTAGGTCAATAGATCAGCTTTCTTCACATAATTTATCAATTAATTTAAGCTAGAAAATGTTTGCCAATCGGCTTATATGCTGTGCACCGAATGAAGAAAAGGTAAACTATTTAGAATACGTATTTTGACCCTCATGAAACAGCAATCATTTATTAGAGAGAATGAACTTCCATGTTGCTTTGCGTGAATCATTTTTAAATTCTGAAGTGTAACTTATGAGCTACAACAAATTTTATCGCAACACTCAAGGTCGCGCAAATTCAAGCGGTGGTAAAAGAAAACTAAGAACAAAGCAATGGGAGATGAATTTCGGAATAAATACGTGTCACATATGGCCATCAATATATATATATATATATATATATATATATATGCGTGTGTGTATGTATGAGTGGGTGGGTGGGTGTTTTGAGTTAATCGAATGGTGCCATTCTCTTTAAAAAATTTTCTGGCTGTTCTTACACATTTATTTCTGTTATCCCTGTCCAATGTTACTCAGATCGGAAAGTGTTATCACATTTTACTGTGTTTGTGGCCGGTAGGAACTCACCGTATTTAGAATCCTAAACCCAACTACTAAGGTTCCTCGGGTAAACTGAAGCATGTACCGAATGACAGACTACCGTATTATGTATTATGTATTATTATCCACTATCAAACCACAAAAATCTTGATCACCTGAAACCTGGATGAAAATCATTTGGAATTCATTTTCTATTGGACTTAGGTGTTTTTGAATAACGAATCCCAAAACCCAGGTTTGCACAATATATCCTGGATCATTTCGCTGCATCTGTACACGTGCATACTGTAGTCTGTAAATAACCGAATCATAGGCGGAGAAAGATTGCGGTCAAAATTACTCGCCAAACACATTTGTTACCAAGGCAGCGCCAGAGTGATAAGCCATTTACGCTGTTTACACAGTTTGCGATGGTAATTTTGAATGGCTAGTGCCTCGGCGTATTTCAGAACCTTGGTGTTGTTTGTGTTGTAGAGGATTCTGACTCCGTAACTCGAATAGGATTTGAG